AAAGGTACAATACCAAATGTAAGGATTATTAGAATTAATAATTTGTCATATTTGTATTCTTTGCCATTGAATCTTTTTATGCATCAATTTAACTCATTTCCTAATCCTACAAATACAACAAAGCATTCAGCACTGGATTCACTCCTTATTCTGCAACTGCTTTCAATGTCAAACATCAACTGTAGTGACTATTTGTAGGCAAACAAAGTAGCCATTTCACACAGCACACAAGAGAATAACCATTTTATATAATACAAAATTTTAAAACTAGTGGTATATTTTCTGGGACTCATACTAGAGATTAATTTGTCAGTATTGGGAGTGGCTACCACTCAATCACTGGAGCTAGAAGCTAAGAATCATGCAGATCCCAATAACATTGTCAGCAAAGCAGCACACCTTTTTCAAATACTATTTTCTTGGCTTAGCCGGGTGGCTGACACAGAAGGAAACCCATCACCATGCTGAAAAGCATGCAAACTAGAGCACCAAGCATCCCACCTATACAGGATAATTCCTGATATATTTGGAAGAGAATGCCACTTCCTTGAGGTACGCATCTTGCTTATCCAATTCTGGAAAGTATTAGGTGCAGGTTGACAAGAGCCAAGGTGTGGGGACCCCAGAGTGTACATTGAGTAACTGCTGGAGTCTAACCAGCTAAAACCACATAGCTTGCCATTGAGAGCACTGCCCGATTAACTTTCTCACTGCACGTACACCGTACCCATTACAGGTTTGGCTTGTAGGGTTAACAGGAGCTGAGTGGGAAGAGTCCCTGCCCCCAGTGACTGGTCTGCCCTTCCTAGTCCTGCGAATGAGCCAGGCTGGCTGGGATGTCAGCAGTGCCCTGGAATACTGTGGAACTACTTGGCTCAGGAACTGTACTACCGAGATCACCATAGAGGGTTGGCTCGATTCTGACATTGTGTTGCTAAACATGTCATCTGTGAGCCAGTTCAGCTCCAAGCAGACCCGCTTACTTCCCCTCCCTCAGAATAGTACTGTGTATTTAACCACGTAAAAAGCACTGTACAAGTACAAGCTGTTCCTGGTTTTGTTTGGTTAGTCATGAGTCACAGTTCTTAAGAGTATCTTACCTCCCCTCACCACCCAGAGGTTAAATGCTGATGATAAAAATTACCTGAAGCAGAATTAAATCAAGAATAAATTATATTGCTGCTATGGTGGCCTTTTCTTTTGCTGACCTCTGCATAAGCTTATAGTACTGCACATCATGTGATGCCAGCAGAAGACAGTTGTGGCTGGGATCTGTGGAATTCAATACCAATGCTGGAAGCCAGGTTCTAGTTATTAATCACCGAGCCAAAGATCCATGCTTTTTTTAAGCAACCTGTACTGGTGATGTTGAACATGTGCCACAAAGGCAAAGATGTTAAAAATTAAATGTAAAAAAGGCTTATGGCTTATTAAAGTACATTTGGAAACAGGAATAAACTGAATTGGAGCTATTTGGATAAAATGTCTTCCATGAGAATAGCCTTACCAATCCTGCCATCACAAGAAAGTCTTTCCAAATTCCTCTTTTGGTCATCCAGGTAGGTGTCTGACACTCAAAGCTCATCATCACCTTGCTTAAGAATATCAAAATCAGATAAGAGTTCCACATATCTTCATCGCCTATATGTGGAAATTTCCCTGGATCTGGAACAGGGACATTCCTACTTACCCAATTCCAACGAATATTAGACAGGTTCAAGTTTCAAGGACCCCCAGTGTGCACCAGAGTACTGCTGGAGTTCAACCAAACATAATTTGCTAATAAAAGCACTGTCTGATAAGAGTCCTTGCTCCCAATTTGCCCCTCCAAAACCTGCCAATGAGCCAAGCTGGCTGGTCTGTCATCAGCAGTGCCATGGAGAATTGTGGACCAGCCTGGCTCAAGAAATGGACTAAGCTGACAAACTCTCACACTAGGTAAGCTGTTGTAAAATGCAAGATATGCTGTCTCCAAATAGCATCTAACAGCATTAATCTTCTAATTTTGAAAATGCTGAATAAGCAATTGGCAAACTTAAAAGATGCTCAACATTTTCAAAGGGATTTCATGCTCATCTAAACTGGTGTGCTGTTTAGAAGTTCCTTGTGGAATGGGAGTGGGAAGAAAATGCTTGCTTTGGTTTTAATCAAATTGAAGTACATCACCTTCTTTTAGACATCTAATGTAATCAGATACTTTCTGCTAGTCAACCCAGTGGGATCATTCAGTACTTTTACAAGATACAAATATTATAGGGGCACACCAGTTAAGTACTTTACAAAGAAAATTGTTACTTTTCTACCGGAGCTAGCTAAAAGTATGCTTATAATTGCCCAAACCATCACTAAACAGTATTAAGGAAGTCTCTAAGATGCTGTAAAATGGTGCTGCCATTCGAATAAGCAATCCTAATTTGATTTTCAGTTTGTAAGCTTGAACAAAAGGTATTTGCCAGACCAGCAAAACTTTCAAGAGCTAAATGAAGGCAAGCTATATGACCAATTGCAACAAGCTTTTAAAGAATGTAATTATAAGACTGAATGGCAGAAATTGCACATGGACACTGAAAGTGCTTGTATTAATCCGAGATCACACTTCATGGATACATTTAACTAAAACCATAGGTTAGCAGATTTACAGAATCACATGCATTTGGGTAAAACCATAGATTAGCCAACTCAAACCAGCAGCTAACATTTAGCTTCAGAAATCAATCTGAACTCAATGTTCTCACAATCCTGATGCAGTAAATTAAGCATCACACCCCATTAAGATATCTATCACAGTACTTTTGTGATAATAAGTCCATTATTTTGTTTGGAATATCAACCCTATTTGAAAAGTCTCTTTCTGGATTTCAATAGTTCCAAACAAGAACATTTACAGCAAGAAAATCATTTTAGCACACAGGGTGAACAAATTAAAAGTAGCAAGCACTGTTGTTATGGAAGAAGTGCTTCTACATATGCAGTGCTGAAATAAAAGTAATTTGCTAGTTTTTTTAAAGTAAGATAACTTAATGCATGATTATTAATATATTTCCCAGGGATCTTAAAAAAACCGAACAATTTACTGCATCTATAAGTTTCTTTCGATGATTACCAGATTTAAAGAGTGTGTAATACAGGTGCGAAAAGTCAAAAGTAAATCTGAATTAGCCAATAAACATCTGCAACCTGGACATCTCAGAAGGGATCGACTCCATCCAAATCGCGTGCAATTAAGAGATCTCTAAACTTCCCAAATACTGCGGTTGTAATCTCTCATTACTGACAAATGGGGAGGGACATTTCTTAAAAAGAAAAAAAAAGTGGACGGCATTTTCTCGAACGGGTGTTTTAAAAACGCCTTACAAAACCTTCGAGAACCTAAGTTCTGAGAGGAAAAAAAAGTGATCGATTTGACAAACGAAAGGTTAAGATTCTTTTTAAAAAGTTCGTGCCCACTGTATCTGCCGCCGAGGCACCGCCTTCAAAAAGCTCAGCTCATCAAACTGCACAGTCATGATCACGACAGACGAGAAGGGGAGAAGTGAAGAACATTTAAGATAGCAAAAAAAAATGCAACACAATGAAGAATGGAGGCCATTCTATATCCCTGTGAGCAATATATTACGAGGCTTGATCTTCATATACACAAACATTGATTTTAAAACTGATTTTTGGATATCTGTGTCTGCAATGGAGTCAGCAAAAAAAAATCGAAGTACCTCCTGAATGGTTGCAGGGGAGGGGAGATCGATTAAATTAAAATTGAATTAATTTTAAAGACGTCGATAACGTGTACGTTGCTTAATACACATTTGCAAATACTGCATAATTGATGATTTGCGATTTCCTACGCAAACCTCACGAAACGTAATTAAATATCATAATTCAAGTGGAAAAAAACAAACGAAAGCCAAAACCGTCTATAGCGACCGGAGTGCAAATACGATATACGAGAAGGAAAAATTTCAAATTTCAAACAAGTCGGATTATAACGGACAAACAGAACTTAACCCTCATAAACCGTTATAAACTGCACAAAGGGCTGCAAAAAGCTACAAATAGGGCCCTCTGAAGAGATTGCATTAAAAATGCAAGATCTTCGCAAAAAAAATCATGGGTCTACCGAGATTGGACGACTGCAGTTTTCTAGAATTTTCTCCAGATTTACGAAGGAGAAGAAAAACCTCGATTTCTTTTTGTTAATTTATTTAAATATTTTTTTTAAATACGATGGTTCGTCTACCGAATCGGATTAGGCAAAGCCGTTGATGCAAGTTTTCTTCCTCTCCCAAGACAGGTTTAGGAAGAAATAAAAACGTTCAGAGAAAAACCTTTTTTTTTATTGTGTAATGTTTTACGGGGAGGGGGGTGGCGAGGGGGGAGGGGAGAAAATAAATCACTATCTTCATTACCGAGAAATGTATAAAGACGTGGAAATAACGTTTCGTGCTTGATTTCGGGATTTTAAAAAAAATTTAAAAGAAGACCGTCGTGGGGGTGGAAGTAAATGCGATCCAAAGCCAACAGCAGCTCTGTCTGTCTCCCTCCCTCCCCCCAGTGCTGATAGTGCCCACCCTGATGACCAGATGAAATCAGTGTGAGGGAGGGAGGGAGAGAGAGACCCGGCGCCATCTTGCAGCCACAACGGTTCTCACACACCGGGATGATGGCGGACGGGACTGGACAACGAGACCATCCCCCCCCCCACTCCCTTCATTACCCCCACAATCACCAGCTCCTCCCCACCCCCCCCCTTAAAATAAAACCTCGGTCCTCTTCCCCGCCACACACACAGGGCCAGGGCCGATTGCCCCCCACCCCCAACCCCCCAACTCACCCCCATCACACCACACCGCGCTCTCTCCCTCTCCCCATTTTCCCTATACCCATCCCCGTGCCCGCTGCTCTCCCCTCCCCGTCCGTCCTCCCCTCCTCAGCCCCCATCCCCCCGCCCGAACCCCTACCCGCTCCCCTCGCCGCCGCCGCCGCCCCCCCCAACGTCCGCTCACCGATATGAAGGAGAAGGTGCCCGAGGGCATGGAAGCCCAGACGTATTTGGCGTCCGTGTAGCCGACGATGGCCGAGTCCTGGCAGTAACCGTCCGCCATCAGGCTGTCCACATAACCGTTCCAGCCAGACATGATTCACTCACTCACTCACTCGCGGGCGGAGTGGGGGGTGAGGTTGGGGGGGGGGGGGGGGGGTTGAGGGTAAGGAAGGATGAACGAGTTGCAACGGAGTAGCGAGAGAGAGGGGTGTGTGTGTGTGGGGGGGGGAGGGGGGCCGGGGGGTAGCGAGAGACAGAGAGAAAGACACGAGAGAAACTTCCAGAAACGACGGTGGTGCGGAAGAAGCGGAGTCGGGATCGCTGCTGTCCCCGGGGAGGGCGGGAGGGAGGGAGGGCGGGAGGCCGACGCCGGTGTATTTTTCGCGTTATCTGGACGAGGTGGTGAGGAGTGCCGGTGGGTGGGTGGGTGTGGGGGGGGCGGTGCTGCTGGCCTCGGGCTGGCGGGGAGCTGCTGGCCTCGGGCTGGCGGGGAGCTGCTGGCCTCGGGCTGGCGGGGAGCTGCTGGCTTGGTGACCACCCGGCGCCGCTGTGCTCGGGGTGTGGGGCCGGGGCGGGACCGGCTGTCGGTTAAAACGAGCCCGAGACAGGAAAGGGGGAGCGAGCGAGGAAATGAGGGCGGGGAGCGCGCCGCGTGCGGGAGAGAGAGAGAGGGAGGGGGGGGGGGACGAGCGCAGGAGCGCGACAGCGAAGGGGGCGCGCGCACAGTTACTGACATACTCTCACACACTAACACACACACACAAATATACACACACACTAACATACACACACACAAATATACACACACACACACTAACATACACTAACATATTCACACACACAAATATACACACACACACTAACATACACTAACATATTCACACACACAAATATACACACACACACACTAATATACACACACTAACATACACACTAACACACACACACTAACATTCACACACACAAATATACACACACACACACTAACATGCACACTAACATGCACACTAACACACACAAATATACACACACTAACATACTCACACACTAACATACTCACATACACACTAACATACACACACTAACATATTCACACACACAAATATACACACACACACTAACACACACACACACAAATATACACACACACACTAACATACACACACAAATATACACACACACACTAACATACTCACATACACACTAACATACACACACTAACATATTCACACACACAAATATACACACACACTAACATGCACACTAAAATACGCACACTAACACACACACACAAATATACACACACACACTAACATACTCACATACACACTAACATACACACACTAACATATTCACACACACAAATATACACACACTAACACACACACAAATATACACACACACACTAACATACACACACTAACATACTCACATACACACTAACATACACACACTAACATATTCACACACACTAACACACACTAACAGACACACACTAACATACTCACATACACACTAACATACACACACACTAACATACACATTAACATATTCACACACACACTAACATACTCCACACTCATAAACACACCAACATACTCACACTAACATTCTCACGCACATTAACATACACTAACAGACATACACACAAACATACATACACACTAACATGCACACACACACTAACGTACTCACACACACAGCCACATACACTAACACACACACACTAATATACACACTCAAACATACTCTCACACACACACTAACATACACACACTAAAATACTCACACGCTAACATACACAAACACTAACATACACACACAGCCACATACACACAGCCACATACACACAAACATACTCACACATACAGCCACATGTGTACACAGCCACATACACACACACACAGTGATGTACACACATATGGCCACATACACACACTTAACATACTCGCACACACAGCCACATATATACACACACTATCATACTCATACATACAGCCACATACACACACTAACATACTCATACACACAGCATCATACTCATCCACACAACATATACACACACACATGCTCATACACACACACATTAACATACTCATACACACAGCATCATATACACACAAACAGCCACACACACTAACATACTCATACACACATTCACTCACAGCCACACAGAAACACACATGCAGAATGGGATCCCTGATCTCATTCCTATTCATTTCTGATCCTGCATTAACCTCCCCCAAATCATCCAATTTTACACTCATTACCTTTTTACCTTCACACTTAAATGGCTTAATAAATAATCCTAATGCTTTATTTGAATTGCTGTGAAGTGTCGTGACTGTGTATTTGGAGGCAAACACAGCAGCAAAATCCTGTAAACAGTTGTGAAATGAACAGCCAATTTATCTATAGGATTGTTGACCAGAACACCGGGAGAAATGCTTCGGGACGTTTTCCCGATGTGAATGGCACTATATAAATGTAAATTGTATTGTATTTTAAACTCCCCTTGCTATCTAATAGGGCCTGACATCTTGACATCCATCTAAACAGACAGCTGTAGGGGGAAATTATTCCCCATTCCTTCATAAACCTGTACTCCCCCCCCCCCCCCCCAACAAATCTTCTATTACCTTCCTCTTATAACAGTTTACTATAATGTGAAATAAAAAGGCATACTTGCATTAGGCGTCATCTTGTTTTTCAATCAGGGCATATATTACAATGAAACACTTACACTGTCAAATACCAACATAAAAACCCTCCAGCTATTAATATTATTGTTATTGAAATAATTCCTATACCTATTTAAGTGCTTTCCTATGCATATGTGCAAATGTATAATTTATATAGCTTTATTGTAGTGCAGTAATTAACACCGATTTATAATAAACGATACAGCTATCAATTTTATAAAATTTATTATTAAAGTACAATTGAAGAGTTGGTTATAGAAGTAAATTTGCAACTTTTTTTAACAGATTTAATGTGATTGCTTGTTGCAAATTTCACCTTTGCAAATGATGTACAAGAGCAACAACACCTTGGATTCATGTAGTGCCATTCACATTCGATAACGTCTTGCAGTGTTTTACAAAGACTGGGTCATCCATCGAGCAAGGGAGAGGAGCGGTGGGGGAGGTGACTATGGAATAGATAGCTTTTAAGATGGTATTTAAAGATGAATAGCAAAGGGGGCAAGATAGAGAGATAGAGGGAGTTCCAGAGGTTACAACAACAACAACAACAACTTGGATTTATATAGTGCCCTCCACGCCGGACGCCGTCTCAGAGTGCTTTACAGATTCGGATCCCAGGGCCGAGCCAGGGGGAAGGGGGGGGGAAGGTGACCAAAGGCGCGGTCGAAAAGAAAGGTCTTCAGCAGAGACCTGAAAATGGGAAGGGAGGGAGCGAGACGAAGGGAGTGAGGAAGATAGTTCCAGAGCCTCGGAGGAATGGCCGCCGAGGGTGGAGAAGAGGACTCAGGGGATGAGGAGGAGGCCAGACCCGGAGGAACGAACGCAATGGGTGCTGTTTTGAGACGAGAGGAGGTCAGAGAGGTCGGGGCGTGCAGAGGAGCTGCAGGGACTTGAATACGGGGGTGAGGATCTTGGAAGTCGATCCTTTTTGGGACAGGCAGCCAGTGCAGTCCGGCAAGGACTGGGGTGATCGGGGAGCAGAGTTTCGTGCAGATAAGAATGCGGGCGGCAGAGTTATGAATTAGTTGGATTTTATGAATGGTAGTGGATGGGAGACTGTCGAGGAGGGCGTTAGAGTAGTCCAGCCGAGAGGTGACAAAGGCATGGACCAGGGTTTCAGCTGCATTTGGGGAGAAGTATTGGCGGAGACGGGCGATGCGACGGTAGTAGAAAAAGGCGTTGCTGGTAAGGGACCGGATGTGGGGGGGGGAAGGATAATTGGGGGTCGAACCTGACGCCTAGGTTGCTTACGGGTTCAAAGAGTTTTAGGGGGAGGTCAGGTAGGTGGAGGAGGTGAGATTTTAGACACTTGGTATAGAACAAGGTTAGGAGTGTAGTAACTGGTAGTATAGAGAGAGCAGGGGACATGCAGCAAGCCTGACTCAGTCGAGTGGAGGGGGAAAGCAGGATAGTGGGGGAGGAAACAATCAGAGAGATAGGGAGGTGCTTGGCGTGACAGGAGCACAATAACTGAGGGACTACAGTTATAGAACAAGTATGCACTCTTGCTGTCTAAATCATTGCTAAAACTTTACTCCACATGAGGCACATAGCCAATGCAAAGCATAGAAACACCATAGTAGGAGTGTACATGGAGAGAGCGAGGGTATAGGAATCAGCTGAACAGAATTGTACTTTCAGATTGCATTGCAAACCACAACAAGGAAATACAAGTGATTTGTGGGTGTTCTAAATTGCAACCATAACCACATCCTTTCCTGTTACTTCTGTATGTTTGCCTCAAATCTTGCTGCTGCAATCATCTGTTGTCTATTGCCTGCTGCTTAGAGCTTGCGGTTAGATAGTGATATTCTTGCTTTAATGAAGGACGATATTATCATGAAATACAACCCAGATATTATTTATAATGATAATAACATTGTTTACTAGGTTAGTTATTGTAATATCTTTATAGATATAGGAGGGCCATTTTGTCTTAAAAGTTATTATCTCACAGAATTGTGGAAAATTCTCCAATTGAGCCTTTAATTGTGTTTCATAAACGAGTGAGTTCATTCTTAATTGATGCAATTGTAACTTTAAGACAAAATGGTCTTACAGCGCGATAGAATATTGGACCTATAAACCACTGAATGACCAGTTGTAGAATTACAACATGTATGTAAATAGCATGTATGTGAATATCACGTCTTCAAGACATCTCAAAGCACTTCACAGAATATACTGTAAAGACTGTGTGTTTTGTGGATGAAATGCGGTATATCTCACCTGTCTAGTTTCATATTCTATGCCCTTATTTATAAAGCTAGAATCCCGTTAGTTTTCTTCACAACTTCAGCCTTACAAAGTCTAAACGTTTAGGTATGTTAAGATTTGGATCTCTACTCTCCTACTCCTTTGAAAATGTTACTATTTTGCATTTGCTTCCTTACTTCATTCTTCCTGATGCACAAAGAACTTGAACTCGGTGTCGGATGCCCATGTATCAATTGCACAAAGCAAAACATGTCAATAGAAAAAGCAGTCAGCGAAAATTCATAATAATAATCCTTTCATTTGATATAGTGTCTTATCACAACGAAACATCTCAAAGCACTTCAAAGGATATATGGTAAAGTGGATTGACTATGCATTTTTTGGGCAAACTGTGGTAACCAATTAGGGGATATATTGGCCAGGACACTAGGAGAAACTGGTGGAAGCGGAGGGACTGCAGGATGGAGTCCCAGAAAGTGGGGGCAGTGTGGTTGAAGGCTCACCCGCC